AACCAGCCCCGAGCCCGCTCCAGCCCGACACCGGTGCGGCCCGAGGCTCCGCGGCGCAGTGACAGCCCCCGAGGCCGGAAGTCCAGCCCCCGCCAGCCCTCATTGGCGCAAAGCGGCGAGGCGGCTTCCGCGCAGAGCCTTCTGGGAGGGGAAGTTCCCGGGTGCTTTGCCTGAGGCCCGCTTTTCCTGATCTCCGTGGCAACGGCCAAGCGTCACCGCGTGGGATGCTGGGAAGTGGAGCCCCAGTGCGCCTCCGCTGCGCCGGGCTAAGGCGCGGGTGGGGCTCTGAGCTGGGCTGGTGTGGAAGAGGCAGGTTAGTAAGAAGCTAGGGTAATTTGGCAAATGTAATGGGAAAAGTGAGACAGTTAAATAAGGCAAAGCAATTTATAGCCAGAAAATAAGTTGCAAGGGCTTACTGTCCCTAACCAAGGATACTTAGGAGCAAATGGTTTTCACATTGCAGACCTTGAGGGAGTTTGGGGGAGTCAGGCCCACCTCAGTCCTGTCCCCCCTGTGGCAGTCTTTGAAGATGAAGCTGACCAGAGAATGGCCCTGATCCCTCTATACTTCATTTTGATGAATCAGCATACTAAAGGACACACCCGGAAAGCTGATGAATATTCTATTAAGATCCTCCTGGAGACGGCTCCTAAAATTCCCACCTTTGGAAAATAGATAAAAGCCTTCAAGATAAAGGAAGCCACAGCTTGGAGCACACCCAGGCCTTGCCCTTTCTTTCCTCAGGGGGTATATGTTTGCTCTTTCTCCAAAGCTCTAAGAGTCCTTACCAGACTTGCAACCAGGGGTGAACCAGGCAGCGGCACCCTGTCTGGGCTAACCCCCTGAACCTGCGTCCAAGGGCCCTCCTTTTGCCTCTGTAACGTGTTTCCTGAGTCCAAGCAGTCCAGCTGGCTCACTTCTGCCTGTGTGATTGTCTAAAGGGTCCAGGCAGCCACACCTAGGCTTTCCTCTTCCTCATGTTTCCAAAGGGCCAAGGCAGCTTCGCCTAGGCTCACTCCTGTTGCTTTGATCTTTGCCTCTTTTATCTTAAGCTCTTCCTTTATTTCACTGTCCCCGGCTTTAATAAACAAACTCTTAAAATCGCCTGGACTCTTGTTGTGAAATCTTTCCTGCACAAAGTCAAGAACCCACACAGTCCAGACTATGTCGGGGCAGATCCACCTCGGTCCTAGCCCCTTTCCAATGTACTAGTACATTCCTTGTGCAGCTCACATACTGAAACATAGAAAGTCATCCTTTACAGGCTGATGGGCACTTGGGGCTTTGGGGCCCTGGTATCACTGACTTCCCACATAGTTTGGCACTCCTATCACCAGCACTGAGGCTGGGAAGTATCCCACTTGCAGACAGGCTCATGGCAGAAGCAGGCCCTCCTTGTGTGTAGGGCTCCCATGCATTATTTCCTGGTCAGGCTCTCCTGTGCTGTGGCCTGGCATCCAAAGCTACCTGGCTGCGCATCAGAGACACACTCCTGGCTGTTCATACAGGGGACACAGGAGAGGCTCCTGGTTCAGACCCAGCCTCCACCAGTCCCTGAAGCAGCCCAGTGGGAACGCTGCAGCCCGGCTAGGCGTGGCTCAGTGGTTCAGCGTCGACCTAGGATCCTGGCGATCAGGGTTCAATTCCCAGTCAGGGCACATGCCCAGGTTGTGGGCTCAATCCCCAGTCGGGGGCGTGCAGGAGGCAGCCGATCAATGACTCTCTCATCATTGATGTCTCTATCTCTCTCCCTCTCCCTTCCTCTCTCTGAAATCAATAAAGATATATTTAAAAAAAAAAAAAAAAGACACAAGGTACTTCTGTCCTAAAATAAAATAAAATGTTTAAAAAAGAAATGCTGCAGAAAGCCGGTAGGAAGGCGAGAGTCTTTTGTTTATTTTTTAAATATATTTTTGTTGATTTCAGAGAGAGGAAGGGAAAGGGAGAGATAGAAACATTAATGATGAGAGAGCATCATGGACCAGCTGCTTCCTGCACACCCCCTACTGGGGACTGAGCCCGAAATCAGGGCATGTGCCCTGACTAGGAATTGAACCGTGACCTCCAGGTTCATGGGTTCACGCTCAACCACCCACTGGGGGAGTGACTCTTTTGATTCAGGCTGCAGCACCCGCTCACACAGACCTCTTCTCCCCACAGGACGTGTGGAAAAGAAAGTCCTTGTGACAGATCTGACCCTTCCAGGGAAATCTCCAGAGGAGAGAAGCCTTAGGGGCCTTAAGTGTGTGGTGGCTGAGAACTGACCTGCTTTGGCCAAGGGGACCCGTGAAGTGTCTGCAGGCAGCTCAGGGGAAGCTCCCCTGCTTCATGGACGTAGTTAGATCTGCACGTGGCACCTGCGGTGTCCTGGAAGGTGGCAATAAATGGACAGAGATGGGAACTCAGGGAAGGTAAGGAGGTGGGTTTTGACCATGTACAGGGGAGACGTCCCAGAGACTCCCAAGGGGGGGTCATGGATGGGCAGCTGGACATGTATGTCTACATCACGCTGAGGGACCTGGCGAGGGGAAAAAGCCTCCACCCCCTGAGGGGGTCACTGTAATCTGAGAATGGGACTGGTGGGCAGTGACGCGAGGGCGTGCTTCCTGGTCACCTAGGCAACGACCGAACGGCACCGCGATTGGCTCAAAAAAACAGTTACTGTCTGCGGCGGGCCTGGAGCCAATCAGACTCGGGGCGCGCAGAGTGGGGGCGGGGTTCCGTCCTCGCCGCTGCGCCTTCCTTTCGCCCGGACGCTCCCGGCTGCGGGGCTGGAGGAGGCGCCGGGAAGTGCCGGACCTTCGCCGAGACTTTGCGGGCGCTTTCACCCCGCGAATGGCTCCTTCCTGATCCTCGGTCCTTCCGGATGCGGAACTCACGCGACGAGTCTCCGCACTCCGCCTTCGTCCCGAGGCCCCGGGAGGAAGACCCCAGGTTCCCGGGCCCGTTTACACCGGGAGACGGAGGCCCCGAGTGCGACCGTTAGCCCGCGGTCGTCCATCCCGGCCGGCAGCGTCGCGGATGGACTCCCCGCAGGCGAGCCGAGGGTCCCGGCCCTCATGATCGCGGAGGTGCCCTGGGCCTTCGCCTACACGAGTCTGGGGCCCTAGTTGTCACTTTCCCGAAGCGTCCTGAACCCCAGCCAGAGGTTATATGGCAGGACCTCATCTCTGGACGCCAGTGGGATAAGGCCTGGAAGGGTGTCCTGGAGTTGCCGGAGAATGTCATAGATTCTCTTGTGGTGACCTGAGGAAAGAATCCAAACGCGCACACATGGAGAAGTTCAAGCGGGAGGTAAGCCCTGGCCGGGTTGCTCAGTGGTCAGGGCGGCCCGCAGACTGAAGGGTCCTGGGTTCCATTCCAGCCAAGTGCACGTACCTGGGTTGCAGGTTCAATCCGGGCCCTGGTTGGGGTGGGTGTGGGAGGCAACCAATGATGTTCTCTTCCCCCCCCATCTCTCCCTCCCTCCCTCCCTCCCTCCCTCCCTCTCTCTCTTTCACTCTCTGAAAAAGCAATGGAGAAAATATCCTCAGGTGAGAATAAAAAACAAATAAATAAATAAATAAAAATGGTCTTTATCTTCAAAAAAAATAAATAAATAAGAGAGAAAGAAGCCCTAGTGATTGCAATTTTTCATAGTTTACAGAATTATTTGATTCTTATGCACATTTATTAATTAGATAAAATTAAAACTAAAAATGCAAAATAATCCTGAATGGAAAGATTTAAAGGTAGATTCAACCAATACAGATGAAAAAAGAAAACATTACAAGAAAATTATTAATTAACAAGAAAACATTATTCATAATATAGCACAGANAATGGAGAAAATGTCCTCGGGTGAGGATTAAAAAAAAAGTAAACATGACTTTACTGCGAATTAGGGGCAATTAATACACCCTTAGGAATTCTAGGGTGGGCAGGCTCTGAAGCACTGCCACCAGGCTTCAGTTAACCCTCCATATCTCTTCTTGGCGCCGGTAAAGGATGAGGAACCATTCCAATTATCCAACCCAAATTCCTAGCGTTTCCCGGGTCTGGATTGGACCCTCCTCCCAGTAAATTCTATTGGGGTTTCCTGCCCTCTATCCGACTGTTCCCAGGCTAGGCCCCGCCCCTCTGTTTCGTCACCGATTCTCATTGCGCATGTCCAAACGGTCATTACAGCGTCTAGTTCCTATCGCGCATGCGCCCAGCAGAGGCCTTTCCTCCCCTCCCTCCTGTGTTGGGCTTTCAGCACCTTGGGGAGCTTTTCCTGTCCGGTTCTAATAAGTCTCCTGGCCTCCTGTCAGCAGTCCCCTAGGGTGTGCTAATGTGTCTGTTTACCAGTAAACTAGATGGAAATTTTGCTCTTTACCTGCTTCTGCTTCCCAGTTCATTAAGATTACTTGGTTCTCTTTTGCTTTCTCCCTTATATTAATAACTAATTATTTTCTCATATCAATAACTAGCTACCTATGCTGACACAGGCACAGGGATCAGCATGTGCAAATTGTTTGGAAGTGAGTATGAGGTGGAAGTGTTCAGGGAACCACATATCTCCATTNTCTGACACAGGCACAGGGATCAGCATGTGCAAATTGGAAGTGAGTATGAGGTGGAAGTGTTCAGGGAACCACATATCTCCATTTTGTCTGGTGGAAATAAAGAGCCAGGGGTACCACAGTCAAGCTTGGATGGCAGGCTGAGGGGCTCGGCCTCTATTCAGAGATTGTGGAAGTCAAGGAAAGTTGGAGCAGAGGAGGGAGGTGATATGATCAGGTCTTAACCAGCTCCCTCTGGATGCTGGGTGGAGTGAGGTTGGAGGTAGGAAGACCATCAAGGAGGTGACTGCAATAGTCCAGGTGTATGCTTTTAGTGTCTGCAGAAGTAGGAGAAATGGCTCTTGATCTGCTTTGCAAGTCGATGGACTCAATTTCCTGGTGTGGGGCAGTAAGGTAACATGGTTGACTGATAGATTTTTCAGATGTAGAAGTTGGTGTGAGGAATAGATTTCAGAGTGAAGATAAAGAGTTGGGTTTTGGCCATATTGTATTTGAGATGCCCCAGAGACTGCCAAACTGTGGTGCCAAGTGTGCTTTATGCCAGGTCCAGACTGGTGACATCCAAGGGATGGAGGCTTGTCTGTGTGGACACTGTGCAGCTGTGGGTCGGGGTCAGGGTGGTGACCAAGCCTCTGAGCAGAGAGTAGACCTGGGATAAAAATATGAAGCATACAAGCCTCACAGGTAGGAGTTTAAGGTGGTTTATGTCTCTACAGCTCATCAGGTTTTGGGGTCCTGGGGATTTTGTCAGTCTGGTGGAGTAGCAGTAGCCAACNTGACAGTGGGGCCTGAGTTTAGGGTGGTTTATGTCTCTACAGCTCATCAGGTTTTGGGGTCCTGGGGATTTTGTCAGTCTGGTGGAGTAGAGGTAGCCAACAGGGTCAGGCTGAGTCCCCAAGCCAAGGATTTGTGTGTTAAGATGAGTGAGGACAGCCCAGCTGGCGTGGCTCAGTGGTTGAGTATCGACCTGTGAACCAGGAGGTCACATTTCGATTCCGGTCAGAGCGCATGCCTGGGTTGTAGGCTTGATCCCCAGTAGGGGGCGTGCAGTAGGCAGCCCATCATTGATGTTTCTCTCTCTCTCCCTCTCTCTCTCTGAAATAATAAAAAAAAGGGAGGGGGTGAGGACAGCCCAGCTGGTGTGGCTCAGAGGTTAATGCATTGGTCTGTGCACCAAAGGGTCTTGGGTTCTATTCCCAGTGAAGGGTATGTACCTGGGTCACAGGTTCAATCCCGGACCCCAGTCTGGGCACTTGTGAGAGGCCAATCGATGTGTCTCTCTCACATCGATGCCTCTCTCTCTCTCCTTCCCTTCCACTCTCTAAAAATCAATCTCAGGTAAGGATTAACCAAAAATAAATTTAAAATTTTTAAAAAGTTAAAAAAAAGAGGAGTGAGGACAGAGGACAGCTATGACTGGTGAGGGCATGTGCAAGGGCAGAAGTGGAAGGAGCTGAATGTTGAAGCAACTGGGCAAGGAGGGGAGGCATTTACTAGAGGGGTGATGACTGTCTCTGGCAGTGGGGGTTTCTGGAGATCTGGGGCAGGCCAGTATTGGATCCTGGGACTCTAGGGAGATGCCCGTGGTATGGACAAGGTGTAGAGGGGTGGGAAAATGTGGATGGTATGGTTCCTGTACAAGGTGAGGGAATGTGAACCAATGGTCCCTGGTGCTAGAGGCTTAAGGGAGAAAGGAGAGTCCCAATTTTCTCATATCTGGGGAACATAAAGGAAATTGGCTAGTGGGGGAGGCAGGGCAGTGTGCCAGCCCAGAACTCAGCATCCATCTGCCCACATGCCTTTTGTCCTGAATATACAGTGGCCTGTGGGACTACAAGGAGAGAGGGACACCAATGGTGCCAGGGCCTGTCATCTCCTCTCAAGTGGGGGCCTGAGGAGGAGGAACTGCATGTGGGTGAGGGGAGGATGAACTAAGGAGGTCATGAGAAGAGGATATGACAGTGGTAGATGTTGTAGAACTCTGAGTCATAGGTCAAGGGCCTGGATGTGTCCATTTGAGTATTTTTTTGTTTTTCAGCCCATCTTTTGGCCCCCTGGCTCAGCTGTCCCATCGTTGCAGAGCCCAGTGACCTTTGAGGATGTGGCTGTGTACTTCTCCAAGGAGGAGTGGGGTCTCCTTGATGAGGTTCAGAGGCATCTGTACCAAGATGTGATGCTGGAAATCTTTGAGCTCATGACCTCACTTGGTAAGACCCTTATGCCCTATTGCACTATGGTGACCAGCTTCTGCCCTGTGCCTTTTTCCCACAGAAAGTTCTGTTTGTCCCAAAGCCCAACCATGGGTGCTGCTTCCTTCCCACGTTTCATGTTGTAAGAGCTAGGACTGGGCTGCATGTACTTCCCTGTCTCTCACTGGACAGCCTCACGAGTGATCCTAATAGCTGTTGAGTATTTTGAGGATCCTTGTGGGAGCAGAGGTTGGGGACCAGGTAACTCCAGTCTGCTTAATGGCTCCCACTGAGCTTGAGCCAGTGTGGGGCCTGCCCAGGCTCTGCCCCTTCTCCCATAAGATGTTTTTCAAAAACAGCTTTATTGAGATACACCATAAGTTCACTCTTTTAAAGTATATGTTTACACAGGTATATGAATATCACAATCCAATTTCGGAACATGTTCATCATCTAAAGGGAGATTTGGTACCCATTAGCAGTCATTCCCTATCCTCCCTCATCCCTTCTCCCCAAGTCATGGGCAACCTCTAATCTACTTTCTGACTGTAGAGATTTGCTTATTCTAGACATTTCATGTAAACGGAATCACACAATACATGTTTTCCTGTGAGTAGCTTTCATTTAACTTATGTTTCAGAGGTTCATCCGTGTTGTAGCATATACAGCATTCATTCCTTTTTATGGTTGAAAAATATTCCATTGTATAGAGTTTGTTTATCCAGTTGATGGGCATTTGGCTTGTTTCCACCTCTTGGCTACTATGAACAATGTTGCTGTGAACATTCACATACAATTTTTTGTGTAGATATGTTTTGATTTCTCTTCGGTAGATATATAGAAATGGAACTTTCCAACTGTTTTCCAAAATGGTGGCACCATTTTACATTCCCACTGCAGCGTATGAGTGTTCGTTTCTCTGCTTCCTCAACAACACTTGTTGTTTTTTCCTTATAGCCACCCTAGTGGGTGTGAAGTGGTATCTCCTTGTGGTTTGGATTTGCATTTCTCTCATGACCAATGATGCTGAACATCCTCCATTTGTGTGTATGCACCTTTCTTTAAGGAATGCTTATTCGCGTCCTTTGCCCCATCTCTGTCCTGGTCTCTGGCAAAGCCTCCTTTATTCTGTGGCATGGCTGGGTACTGTCCTACACAGTGGACCCTTCACTCTTATTCTGTCAACAATCCCTTTAACCCCTTCCTGTATGTGTCAGTTACACATTTCTAATGAAGTCACCCTTTGCACCAAGTGGAACACTGAATTAGTGAGAAACTTCTCTGATTTTAGGTTGTTGGCATAAAGCAGATGATGAGGAGGCCTGTCCCAAGCAGAATGCTTCTATAGAAGGGGTGTGCCAGGTCAGGATCCCCAATACACATCCTTCCACCCAGAAGACTGATTCCTGTGACATGTGTGGTCCATTCATGAAAGACATTTTACACCTAGATGAACATCAAGGAACACATCCTGAGGAGATCCCCTACACATGTGGAGCATGTGGAAGAGGGTTTTGGTTCAATGTAAACTTCTTCCAGCACCAGAAGGAGCCCAGTGGAGAGAAGCCCTTCAGATGGGACAAGGACAGGGACTTGTTTGTGAAGAGCTCTATAGTGTACCTGTCAGAGAAGCCCTTCACTTGCAGGGAAGGTGGTAAGGATGTCTCAGACAGCCATGACCTCCTCCAGCACCCAGCCATCAACAGCAGCGGGAAGTCACATAGGAACACAGAGTGCAGGGAGGCCTTCCCACACAGTTCCAGCCTTGAGCAGCTCCTAAAAGTCCATACCACACATAAGCTCCTCAAGTGCAATGACTGTGGCAAAGCCTTCCAGGAGATCTCAGCCTTCCTCAACCACCTGAGAATGCACTCTGAAGAGACACCATTTAGATGCCCAACACTTGTAAATTCCTTAGAGGAGAAATCAACCCTTGTTAATTACCAAAAATTTCACACTGGAGAAACATCACATGTGTGTAAAGAGTGAAGGCCTTTAGTTACCCATCTAAGCTGAGGAAGCACCAGCAATTTCACACTGGAGTAAAATACTATGAGTGTAGTGACTGTGGGAAAACCTTCAGCCACAAACTCACACTTGTCCATCACCAGAGAATTCACACAGNACAGCCTCACGAGTGATCCTAATAGCTGTTGAGTATTTTGAGGATCCTTGTGGGAGCAGAGGTTGGGGACCAGGTAACTCCAGTCTGCTTAATGGCTCCCACTGAGCTTGAGCCAGTGTGGGGCCTGCCCAGGCTCTGCCCCTTCTCCCATAAGATGTTTTTCAAAAACAGCTTTATTGAGATACACCATAAGTTCACTCTTTTAAAGTATATGTTTACACAGGTATATGAATATCACAATCCAATTTCGGAACATGTTCATCATCTAAAGGGAGATTTGGTACCCATTAGCAGTCATTCCCTATCCTCCCTCATCCCTTCTCCCCAAGTCATGGGCAACCTCTAATCTACTTTCTGACTGTAGAGATTTGCTTATTCTAGACATTTCATGTAAACGGAATCACACAATACATGTTTTCCTGTGAGTAGCTTTCATTTAACTTATGTTTCAGAGGTTCATCCGTGTTGTAGCATATACAGCATTCATTCCTTTTTATGGTTGAAAAATATTCCATTGTATAGAGTTTGTTTATCCAGTTGATGGGCATTTGGCTTGTTTCCACCTCTTGGCTACTATGAACAATGTTGCTGTGAACATTCACATACAATTTTTTGTGTAGATATGTTTTGATTTCTCTTCGGTAGATATATAGAAATGGAACTTTCCAACTGTTTTCCAAAATGGTGGCACCATTTTACATTCCCACTGCAGCGTATGAGTGTTCGTTTCTCTGCTTCCTCAACAACACTTGTTGTTTTTTCCTTATAGCCACCCTAGTGGGTGTGAAGTGGTATCTCCTTGTGGTTTGGATTTGCATTTCTCTCATGACCAATGATGCTGAACATCCTCCATTTGTGTGTATGCACCTTTCTTTAAGGAATGCTTATTCGCGTCCTTTGCCCCATCTCTGTCCTGGTCTCTGGCAAAGCCTCCTTTATTCTGTGGCATGGCTGGGTACTGTCCTACACAGTGGACCCTTCACTCTTATTCTGTCAACAATCCCTTTAACCCCTTCCTGTATGTGTCAGTTACACATTTCTAATGAAGTCACCCTTTGCGCCAAGTGGAACACTGAATTAGTGAGAAACTTCTCTGATTTTAGGTTGTTGGCATGAAGCAGATGATGAGGAGGCCTGTCCCAAGCAGAATGCTTCTATAGAAGGGGTGTGCCAGGTCAGGATCCCCAATACACATCCTTCCACCCAGAAGACTGATTCCTGTGACATGTGTGGTCCATTCATGAAAGACATTTTACACCTAGATGAACATCAAGGAACACATCCTGAGGAGATCCCCTACACATGTGGAGCATGTGGAAGAGGGTTTTGGTTCAATGTAAACTTCTTCCAGCACCAGAAGGAGCCCAGTGGAGAGAAGCCCTTCAGATGGGACAAGGACAGGGACTTGTTTGTGAAGAGCTCTATAGTGTACCTGTCAGAGAAGCCCTTCACTTGCAGGGAAGGTGGTAAGGATGTCTCAGACAGCCATGACCTCCTCCAGCACCCAGCCATCAACAGCAGCGGGAAGTCACATAGGAACACAGAGTGCAGGGAGGCCTTCCCACACAGTTCCAGCCTTGAGCAGCTCCTAAAAGTCCATACCACACATAAGCTCCTCAAGTGCAATGACTGTGGCAAAGCCTTCCAGGAGATCTCAGCCTTCCTCAACCACCTGAGAATGCACTCTGAAGAGACACCATTTAGATGCCCAACACTTGTAAATTCCTTAGAGGAGAAATCAACCCTTGTTAATTACCAAAAATTTCACACTGGAGAAACATCACATGTGTGTAAAGAGTGAAGGCCTTTAGTTACCCATCTAAGCTGAGGAAGCACCAGCAATTTCACACTGGAGTAAAATACTATGAGTGTAGTGACTGTGGGAAAACCTTCAGCCACAAACTCACACTTGTCCATCACCAGAGAATTCACACAGGAGAAAGGCCCTACAAGTGGAGTGCATGTGGGAAAGCCTTTAATAACAGGTCACACCTCATTCAGCATGAAAAAGTTCACAATGGAGAAAGACCTTTCAAGTGCAGTGAGTGTGGAAGAGCTTTTAAAAAAAACTCCGAACTTGCTAAGCACCAGAGAGTTCACAATGGAGAGCGGCCTTTTGAATGTAGAGAATGTGGAAGAGACTTCAGGCAAAGCTCCCATCTCCTTCGCCATCAGAAAGTTCACACTGGAGAGCGGCCTTTTGAATGCAGTAAATGTGGGAAAGCCTTCAGTGATAGCACCACCCTCATTCAGCACCAGAAAGTACACACTGGGCAAAGGCCTTATGAGTGCAGCAAATGTAGCAAAACCTTCAGCCGCAGTTCCAGCCTGATTCAGCACTGGAGGATTCACACTGGAGAAAGGCCTTTTGAGTGCAGTGAGTATGGAAGAGCTTTTAACAAAAAATCCAATCTTGCTCAGCACCAGAGGGTTCACAGTGGAGAGCGGCCTTTTGAATGTAGCGAATGTGGAAGAGACTTCAGGCAAAGCTCCCACCTCCTTCGACATCAGAAAGTTCACACTGGAGAGCGGCCTTTTGAATGTAGTGAATGTGGGAAAGCCTTCAGCAATAATACCACCCTCATTCAGCACCAGACAGTACACACTGAGCAAAAGCCTTATGAATGCAGCAAGTGTAGGAAAACCTTCAGCCGCAGTTCCAGCCTGATTCAACACTGGAGGATTCACACTGGAGAAAGGCCTTTCGAGTGTAGTAAGTGTGGAACAGCTTTTAACAAAAGCTCCAATCTTGCTCAGCACCAGAGAATTCACAGTGGAGAGCGGCCTTTTGAATGTAGTGAGTGTGGAAGAGACTTCAGGCAAAGCTCCCACCTCCTTCGACATCAGAAAGTTCACACTGGAGCACAGCCTTTCGAATCTACAAAGGCCTTCAGATACAGCACCACCCTCATTCAGCACCAGAAAGTACACACTGGGCAAAGGCCTTATGTGTGCAGCAAATGTAGGAAAGCCTTCAGCTGCAGTTCCAGCCTGATTCAGCACTGGAGGATTCACACAGGAGAAAGGCCTTATGACTGCAGTGAATGTGGGAAGGCCTTTGCTCACAGTTCCAGTCTCATTAAACACCGGAGAATTCACACAAAGGAAAGGCCATATGAGTGCCATGAATGTGGGAAATTCTTTAGCCAAAACTCCATTCTCATTAAACATCAGAAAGTTCACACTGGAGAAAGGCCTTATGGGTGCAGTGAATGTGGGAAATTCTTTAGCCAAAAGTACAGCCTCATTTATCACTGGAGAGTTCACACTGGAGAAAGGCCTTTTGAGTGCAGTGAGTGCAGGAAAGCCTTCAGCAGCAACTCTCACCTGGTTCATCACCAAAGAGTTCACACACAAGAAAGGACCTACGAGTGCAGTCAAAGTGGGAAAGCTTTTAGTGAAAGGTCCACACTTGTTCCACACCAGGTAGTTCTCAGCAGAGAAAGGACTTATGAGTGCAGAGGGTTTGTATCCAGCCTGACATTGAGGCATGGAGGACACAGAAAGGGAGAAAATAACTCTTTAACAGGGCAGTGAGGGGATTCATGAGGAGGGGGCATCTTGGCCCAGTTGAAGGGGTGTTACTTGGAGAGAGAGAATGAGGGTCAGGCAGGCATCCCTGACGAGCTGAGGGCACAAAAAAAGTGCCCAGGGGCCAGGAGCTGCTGTGTGGATTCTAGAAGAGCTACCACTGGCTGGGGAAAAGACATTCCCTGGGGAGCCAAGACAGAAGTTGTGACCATGGGCTGCTGGCACTGGCTTGCCAGGTGAGGTTTGGGCTAACATGATGGTATTCTGGCAGGATAGTAAGAAGCTAGGAAAATTCCTGGGCAACTAGAATGGGGAAATTGAGACAAGAAAATTAAACAAGGCCAAAACTTAACAGCCAGCTTGTGATTCTCAAGACCTTATCCAAGGACTCTTGAGAACATATGGGTTATACCCTATTCCCTAACCAGAAAATACAGAGCTTAAATCACCCTGGCCTGGGAAAATAGAGAACAAAGACCCAATCAATGCCATCAGCTAAACCCAAGGACAGCCCGGCCAGGCGTGGCTCAGCGGTTGAGCATCAGCCTAGGATCCAGGAGATCGGGGTTCGATTTCCGGTCAGGACACATGCCCAGGTCGCGGGCTAGGCAGCTGATCAATGACTCTCCCATCACTGATGTTTCTCTCTCTCTCTCTCCCCCTCCTTTTCTCTCTCTGAAGTCAATAAAGATATATTTAAAAAAAAATAAACCCAAGGACAAGTGTAGAGCATTGGCCCATTTATCCTAGGATCACAGGTTTGATTCCCAGTCAAGGGCATGTGCCTGGGTTGCATGTTTGATCCATGCATCANCATTGGCCCATTCATCCTAGGATCACAGGTTTGATTCCCAGTCAAGGGCATGTGCCTGGGTTGCATGTTTGATCCATGCATCAGTTGTAGGGCATGTGTGGGAGGCAACCAATGATGTTTCTCTCACATTAATGTTTCTGTCCTGTCTCTCCCTCCCTCCCTCCTTTCCACTCTTTCTGGAAAGCAATGGGGAAAATATCCTCTGGTGAGGATTAACAACAAAAATTTAAAATGTCCCTGGCCTGGCTGNTTCTCTCACATTAATGTTTCTGTCCTGTCTCTCCCTCCCTCACTCCTTTCCACTCTTTCTGGAAAGCAATGGGGAAAATATCCTCTGGTGAGGATTAACAACAAAAATTTAAAATGTCCCTGGCCTGGCTGGGGTGGCTCAGTGGTTGAGCATCATTGACCCATGAACCAAGAGGTCACCAGATCCATTCCCTGTCAGGGCACATGCCCAGGTTGCAGGCTCAATCCCCAGTAGGGGGGTCATACAGGAGGCAGCTGATTGATGTTCCCCATCAATGTTTCTATCCTTTCCTCTCTAAAATCAATAAATAAAAACCATTAAAAAAATTTTGTTAGCCTGGCCGGGCATGGCTCAGCAGTTGAGCATCAGCCTAGGATCCAGGAGATCACGGTTCAATTCCTGGTCAGGGCACATGCCTGGGTTGTGGGCTGGATCCCCGGTAGAGGGCATGCAGGAGGCAGCTGATCAATGACTCGTTGATGTTTCTCTCTCTCCCTCCCTCTCCCTTCCTCTCTCTGAAATCAATAAAAATCTATTTTAAAAAAAATTTTTTTTAAATGTACCTGGAAAGCTGATGAGTGTTCTACTGAAACCCTCCCCTAAGGTCCTCACCTGCAGAAAAATGAAAGGATAAAAAGCCCTCAGGACAGAGACGCAGTGCAGGCTCGTAGAGCACACCCNAATCTATTTAAAAAAAAATTTTTTTTAAATGTACCTGGAAAGCTGATGAGTGTTCTACTGAAACCCTCCCCTAAGGTCCTCACCTGCAGAAAAATGAAAGGATAAAAAGCCCTCAGGACAGAGACGCAGTGCAGGCTCGTAGAGCACACCCATGCCCCTTCCGGGCATGAACTTTTCTTTGCTGCAGGAACTGCAACCAGGGGAGCAGTGGACAGCAGCAGCCTGACCTGGAATCACTCCCTGATCCTGTNTATGCCCCTTCCAGGCATGAACTTTTATTTCTTTGCTGCAGGAACTGCAACCATGGGAGCAGTGGACAGCAGCAGCCTGACCTGGAATCACTCCCTGATCCTGTCTCCAAGGTGGAGCTAAAGCAGCCCCACCATGGCTCACTTCCATCACTGTGATCTGAAGTAGCCCCACCTTGGCTCACTTCTTCCCTATAACACTTCTAGAGAACCAAAGCAGAGCACTGTCTAGGCTCTCCTGTGGCTTCTACCCTAATTCCTTCCTTCGTTTCACTGTTCACGGCTTTAATAAACATTCTCTAACCCATCTAGACTCACGTGAAATCTTTCCTACATGAAATCAAAAACCCACACACTACGGGCTAGGGTGAGGCACACCCGCTACAGGTTGTCTCTGCCCAGTAACGAAGTGAGTCGTGCCCAAACTGGCATGTTGGGCAGGTCAAAGGAACAGAGCCACTCGCTTTGTTCTAGATGTCCCAGCATCACCAGGGAAACAGCTTTCCACCCACTCCCCATCAGATTGGCTGCTGTATATGGAGCCCCAGTGAGAAACCAGATGCAGGGGAAGTGCAGAGGGCCCTTCACCCAGAGGCCATCCTGCAAGATCTAGCTAAGGCCACCCACCTACACAGGGTAATTGAGCTCTAATGACCATTGTCTACCCTACCTCCATTTGCTCAGAGACCTGAGCTCCACCTGGCTCAGCTGGTCTTTAAATTGCTCACACAGACCCCCATGTTGGAGGCAGACAATTATTACACCCAGGGAGGAGGACCTGAGCAGACTTGGAGGTGGGCATACACTTTATGGTGCTGGGGAGAAATTGAGCATACTCCTCAAAAACTCCCCTGAATGCAAGCCTGCCTGGGGTTCTTCCCTGTTATGGTCATCAACCTCCCGCCACCAGGAGGATGTGCAAGAGGAACCAGCCCAGTGAGGCAGCAGCGGTGGTTTCCAGCCCCAACACGTGGTAGGATGAGCACTGTGGCCCAAAGCCCCTCAAGTCGGGTTGCCAACTCTCTAAACACAATTCCAGCTAACAGGACGCACTTTCAGGACCAGGGATACAGCTAGCTACAGGCAGCATATAAATTTTGCTGAACTGACATTTTATTTACCTTGTGGCAAAAGCGTTGCAGCATTTTTTAAATCAAAAGGACCCATGCAACAGAAGATCTGGAGCCATATGTTGATTCAACCACTTCCCTGTGCCAGAGATAGTGGCAGCAGAAACAGTGAAGGCCATGGTGTGCAGACACCAGGAACACTGACTGGGTCACAAAAGACATATCCCAAGACACCCAGGGTGATGGCCATGAGGTCAACATGCCCAGTAAGGCTAGGAGAATCCAGAAGACCTGTAGATAATGTGAGTGTGACCTTGGTCTGCAATTCCAGAGAAATTCTGCAACCCTTGGCCCCTGAAACCACAACTGCCGGAACACTTGTGGAAGCCTCCTTACAACCAGCTCAGATCCCCTAGTGTACCCAAGACCCCACTCATTACTGCAGCGTTTCTGTGCCACGTGTTTTCCAACAGGCCCCTGTAGGTTTTATGGTTAGTCCAGAACTTACTTCCACAATCTAGATTTCAGAGGACACGGCTTCTGAGCTGATTCTGGAGCTTCCTCTGACCAATGCTGGAGATTGAGGAACATTCCCTGGGAACAAGGGCTCTTGCTCCTGTTGTCCCTCGACACATGGAGCATCTTATAGCAACTCTGCCCTTCTTGACCCACCAATAACTCTGACACCCAAATGACACAATTCACCCACCAAGGCTTCCCTTGTCTCTCTGCNTCCCTCACTCCTGTTGTCCCTCGACACATGGAGCATCTTATAGCAACTCTGCCCTTCTTGACCCACCAATAACTCTGACACCCAAATGACACAATTCACCCACCAAGGCTTCCCTTGTCTCTCTGCAGGTCTCGGCACCCTGCAAGTCAGGCCGACCAACGAGAACTGTTCTCTGCCTTTCTGCAGTCTCCACCCAGGCAGATAAAGGTGAAAGAATCTCCACAGAAGCCATTCCTTCTATTCATGAGCCCAATTTTGTTATTTATTCCCTCATACAGAGATCAGAACCCCCAATATTAAAGGTAACTTAAACAAGGGTCAACAACTTTTTTTTTTAATGGTTATATTGACTTGAGAGAAAGAAGGGAAAGGGAGAAAGAAAAACATCCATCGATGAAAGAGAACCATCGNTAACAACTTTTTTTTTTAATGGTTATATTGACTTGAGAGAAAGAGAAGGGAAAGGGAGAAAGAAAAACATCCATCGATGAAAGAGAACCATCGATCGGCTGCCTCCTGCACGCCCCCTACTGGAGATCAAGCCTGCAACCTAGGCATGTGCCCTGACCAGGAATCTAATCAGCGACCTCTGGTTGCAGGGGATGACACTCAACCAACTGAGCAACACTGGCCAGGGACAACGACAACGCCTTTATTGCTATGCATTCCAGAGCCGTGTGACAGTTTCAGGGTTGGGTAAACCCACAACAACAGGTGCAGCATGTAGTGTCAACCATGTACATGAAATCAGCTCACCTTCCCTGGACACCCCGACTGGACACTGCTTAGCTACTGTTGGCCACAGCTAGGTTGTGTCCACACCTAAACCAGTCAGTGGGATATAACGCCCAACATGGGCTCCACCACTCATGGAGAACAGGGAGCATGGAGGTCTGCTGTCCCTGAGCACATTGGGGTGACGGATGCATACCATGGGGACTGCCGGATGGCAGAAGTGTGATGAGTTCTGCCACAGCCTGGTCAGAGTGCAACACAGCTCCTGAAAGCTTCCCACATACCTGGCACCCCTCCCAGCCTGGGTGTTGGGGTGTCCCTGGTTCAGCTTTCAAATGGCTCCTCTCCTGAATCTCCTTTCTGAAGAGAGGTCTTTCATGTTGAGCAAGGTGCCAGCTATGGCAAAAGGCCTTCCCACATCCCGTCCACCTACGACCTTTCTGCAGTGTGGACCTTCTTGTGCTGAAGGAGAGTAGAACTGTGTTTGAAGGCTTTCCCGCATTCTGTACACTCATAGGACCTCTGCTCCGTGTGGAACTGCTGGTGCCGGTTGCGGTAGGACCTGGTGGTGAAGGTCTTCCCACACAGGCTGCACTCATAGGGCCGTTCTCCAGTGTGGACTTTCCAGTGCTGGTACAGGCCGGAGCGGGTCACATACGCTTTCCCACACTGCTTGCACTCGTAGGGCTTTTCTCCAGTGTGAACTCTCTGGTGGAGAATGAAGCTCTGGTTGTATTTAAAGAACCTCCCACACTCCTGGCACTCGTAGGGCCTGCCTCCAATGTGAACTTTCCGGTGCCGGATGAGGGTGGACAGAACACTGAAGGCTTTGCCACATTCGCTGCAGGCGTAGGGCCTTTCTCCAGTGTGAATTCTCTGGTGTAGGACGAGGGCGTCTTTGCGGTTGAAGGTCCTCCCGCATTCACCACACTTGAAAGGCTTTATGCCCGTGTGAACCTTCTGATGCTTCCTCAGTTTAGATGGGTAACTAAAGGCCTTTCCACACTCGTTACACACATGGGATGTTTCTCCAGTGTGAATTTTTCGGTGATTAACCAGGGTTGAGTTCTCCTTGGGGGCATTTCCACCTTTTGGGCATCTAAAGGGTCTCTCTTTACAGTGAGTTACCAGGTGGTCAAGGAGCGTGAAGGCCTTCAGGAAGGCTTTCCCACAGCTGCTGCACTTGAAGAGCTTCTGTGAAGCATAGACTCCCTGCTGCTGCTGGCGACCAGAGCTAGGAGGGAAAGGCTCCTGGTGGCCCGTGCTCCTGCGTGGCTTCCCCTCATTGTGGGTGGCCTGGTGCTGGAGGTGGCCTAACAAGGCAGGGACGTCCTTCCCAGATTCCCCACACAGAAGGTGCTTCTCTGACAGGTGGACCCTGCAGGTCTTCACCTGTTGAGGAGGGGCCTCCCCATCGTTCAGTCTACAGGGACAACCTGAAACAGAAAGGTCAGTCACCGAGAGCTGGATTAAAGGGAGGAGGCACCTTTACCAGCAGTGCGTGTGGAACACTCCCAGAAAGGAGTCCACAGAATTGCCAGGAGGTGGCTGGGAAATGTCTGGGTGAGAAAGGGCTGACCCAGCACAACAGGGCTCTGCCAGGTCACAGAACAAGGAAGGCCTCAACAGGGACGAAGCGCAGTGGAGGAGGAGAGCTGGGGCCTCCGAGTCATGCCTCTGCCTCAGGTTTCCAGTGGGGCCTGAGCTGCTGGTGACAGTGAGCATTGTGAAGAGGACGTGTCTGCTCCGAGGAAAAGATGACTGTAGCACAGTGAAGGGTAAATGACAAGACACAGGCCAGAGAGGTGGGTCATCCAGGGCCTGAGTCACGGTGGAGATGGCAAGATCACACAGTGTGTCCAGAGGGAAAGGAAGGAGGGAATAAGTTGTGGTCACTGGCCTTAGCACCAAAATGCCAGCGCACAAAGACACCCCAACCAGCATGCTGTGAGTCCATCACTGAGAACAAGGCACTTCCAGCCCCACTCACCAAGACCAGGACCCCTCCTGGCGCCTGTTCTGCTGACCAGAGTCACATCCACCATACTGGGCACGCAGGGCTCTTCTTTACCCTCCAGCTGGGCCACCACATAGGACCTCGAAGGTACAAATCCTAGGAGGAGAAAGTTTAAGAGGCCAGTCCAAGTGAAGGCTGACGCAGCTGGCCACACACACCACAGGAAGCTTGTGTCACCATGGCTACCAGAAGGAAACTTAGTATTAGAAAACAAACCTCCCACGTACATTTAAAAATTCACTGAGAGGATAGATCTCATGTTATGAGGTTTTTTAAAAATGTTTTTATTGGTTTTAGAGAGAGGAAGGGAGAGACAGACAGACAGAGAAACACTGATGTGAAAGAGAAACATCCACTGGCTGCCTCCCACACGCACCCCAACCANAGGAAGGGAGAGACAGACAGAGAAACACTGATGTGAAAGAGAAACATCCACTGGCTGCCTCCCACACGCACCCCAACCAGGGATCAAACACACAACCTGGGCANGAAGGGAGAGACAGACAGACAGAGAAACACTGATGTGAAAGAGAAACATCCACTGGCTGCCTCCCACACGCACCCCAACCAGGGATCAAACACACAACCTGGGCACGTGCCCTGACCAGGAATTGAACTGGCGATCTTTTGGTACACTGGGCAATACTCAACCCAGCCACACTAGCCAGGGTTCATGTTATGAGTTTTGCCACAATTTTTTAAAAAAGAATCTCTGAAATCAAAATTACCCTCATACTCAATCCAAACAAAGACATTACAAGAAAACTGCACCATTGATAACTCTTATGATTACAGATAAAAAACACTAGCAAACCAAATCCAGAAATACGCCATCTTAATAGAACAAAGGACAAAATTGCACAATGATATACACGGGAAGGTATTAGACACAATCACCGACTTCTTGCCAACTGCACTCAACAAACTAGGAAGAGAAGGAAACCCCCTCACCTGGGAAGGGCTCCTGGGAAACCTACAGCAGCATCCTACTTACTAGTGACAGCCTGGATGCCTTCCCATTAGATTAGCAGCAAGGCGAGAATGTCTACACTCACCAATACATTCAATAAAACCCTGGAGGTTCTAGCCAGGTCAGTCAGGCAACAGAAGAAGTAAAAATATTTGTAGGTGCCGTTACATTATATATATGGAAATTCACTGAAAAAAACTATTACAACTAATAAGGGAGTTTAGCAAGGTTGCAGGATACAAGATCAGCATACAAAAATGAATTATATTTCTATACACTAGTAACAAACAATCCAAAATAAAATTAAGAAAACAACTCCACTTAAAATAATATCCAAAGAATAAAATCCTTAAGAATAACTTTAGCCTCGTATACAGAAAACTACAGAACACTGTAGTCTTGTACAAAACACTACAAAAAAATTATAGAATAGCTAAATAAATGGAAAGACATGTCATGTCTATGGATTGAAAGATATGAAGATGGCAATACTCCCAAAACTGATCTACTGATTTGACTTCATGGCTCAAGCCTGGCCCAGGGAAGGCCCTACAGGATTTCTTTTGGTGGAAGACGGCAAAACCTGGAGCACAGACTGGCCATGGCTTGGGCAGGGTCACAGAGAGAGGCAGAGCTGGGTGGGATTTGTTGGGAAAACTGTAAACATCTGAAGCCCAAGCTGTCCCCCAGAAGGCCACTGGGGTAACAGGTGTTGAGGCTGCTAACAGGGCTGCTCAGAGAGAGGCAGGGACAAGCACATGCCCAGTGCCCGTCCCCATACTTGGCACCAACCCAGGAAATCTGGGAAGAAAGCAGCCTCCCTGGTGGGGCTTTAGGATGAACAGAAATTCCCATGGAGAAAACTCAGAAGTGGTCAGTTTGCTGGGGGAGCGTGAGGGTCTTACCCAGCGAGACAATGAGTGCAAAGTTCTCCAACATCACATCACGGTACAGGCTCCTCTGGATGGAATTAAGGAGACTCCACTCCTCCCGGGAGAAGTAGACAGCCACGTCCTCAAAGGTGACCAGACCCTGTCATGATGGATCAACTGAGCCTTAGGGTCAACAGTGGGCAGAGAAGCCAACCAAAATGTAGACAGAGGAACACATCCAGGCCCTTGATCTGTGGCTCACGGTCCAGCTACATCTTTCCCTTTGAGCCGAAACGCCCCTCCATACTGTCATCCCTCCCTCTTCCTAAGACCCCCCCCACCAGGCCCCCCAGCACCACTGGTGCCTCCTCCTCATGTTACTAGGGGGTTCTGCATCCAGCCCGCCGCAGCAGGCTGGTGACCAGACGATGCCGTCTACGTTCCGAGCCAGGAGCCCAAGCCGCACCCCATCTCCTGCCAGCCGGTTCCCCGAGTCCCAGGGATCACCTCGGAGCTCATCCTTCTCTCAGGTACAAGTACCTGGCTAGGGCCCTCCAGCTGCCTTTGCCCCGACGGGCACACCGCCCAGCACAACCTCACGTCTGCCCCAGGGGCAGGTAACGAATGGCCCCCACATGCCAGTTCCGCACACGGTGTCTCCCGAGTGACACCACGCGGAGCAACCGCCATCCCGCCGCCCGGAACCACGCACGCATCCGCCGGCCTGGCTCGGCTCCCCTGCCCGCCGCAGCCGCGCTCCGGGCTGGGCTCTTGCGGAACCGGACCCCTTCCACTCACCTGCGCCTCAACGGCCATCGGAACCCTTGGGCGA